AAATCTCTTTCAGTTTAAACTCTTGTTCTATCACTATCTGCCCATATAAAATGTTCCTCTTGCTCTCTTTTAAAAACCCTTGTATGTACTGGAAATCCACAATTAGGTCTCCACAGAGCCTTCTCTTCTCCCAGCTCTCTCAGCCTGTCTTCATAAGAGAGGTCCAGCCCAGATCTGGACCCAGCACTCCTTGTGGGGTCTCACCAGGGCAGAGCTGAGAGGCAGAGTCACCACCTCAGCCAGACACCTGGTCTTCCTTCTTGTTCATCAGATTGTTCACTCCTGCCCAAAGGGGTCAGTCCCAATGGTTCCCATCCTTCCAGCGCATCTCACTTGTGGTAGATAGGGACAGGCGAATGGAAGATTTCGGGATGTGACAGAAAGCAAGACCCTTCCTCCTCATCCTGTGATATGTAATCCATTACCCCTAAGACACGTAACCCCACCTAACCCAGTAGTTTTCCACTCCTTACTAATCCTAGAGATCCTACCTTCTTCCTTTGATGTAGCAAAGCCCCCTTGACTATTTAACCTCACGAGATAAGGTAATAAACGCCATTTGACCATCCACCACATTGGTGTCTGGGTATGTCTGTGGTCCGAGTGGCCCGGGCGAGGCCGGGCTGCCGTGCTGTCCCTTGAAACCAGGTCGCCTTACCTTCTCATCTGAAGGCAACACTCACTGGACCTAAGATAACTTCCCAAATGACTCTTTTTTTTTTTTTCTTTTCTCAAAATTGCTTTTCTGCCACCTTAGAAAAGGAAAACAGCCATCAAGGAGTCCAAAGTGTGCCAAAGCAAGTGCAAAGAGAGGTGCTGAATGAGTTGTTAGCTCAATTCAAGCCATGACAGACACCTTTGCCCTCACTCCTGCTCTCATTGTGGCATAATATTAAAGGTGCTGACAAAGGAGCTCTGACAAGTCTTGTGGCTGCATTTGGAGGACACATCACACCAAAATACAGCTGTTCTGCCAGGAGTTGATTCCAGCACAGCAGGCAAAGGAATGGTACAGCTGGTGATGCCTCAGCTATTTCTGTGTAAAACTAAGCCTCCAGTGAAGATGGATGTAAGGCTCTGGACTTTGCACTTTTGAAGGGACTGAGGCAGAAACACATTCTCTTCTGCCAGTGCTGCGGAGGAGAGGTTGAAACCTGCAGCAGAGGGATGAGAAGGACAGGTGGGGTTAGTGACCTCTTAGGAAGCCATGGCAAGGTGTGGTAGCACTGGTGTGTCATCCCTGTACAAACACTACCTGCTCCTTGGCCAGAGGGGTTATATAACCACACCAACATTGTCAGAAAAGTACCTTCTGTAGGCAGAACTTCAGTTATTTTCTTACTAGATCATGAGACATTGGCTCTACAAATTATGCTATGAGGTATTAAGAATACTGTTTTACAGTTTCTCACTGATATAAAGAATTCTCTTCCCTTGCTCTTGCTGGGGCTTTTGCAGTTCAGCCCTTGGCACTGAAGAAGTCTGGCTTTCCAGCAGAAAAGTCTGAAAACAAGACTCAAAATGTTTAAAACTCCCTGCTCTAAAAAAGTGTGAAGCATTTCATCTGTAAATTCTCTTGTCAAAAAAATAGCATTAGTGTATAACTAATATCCAGGCTTGACTGACACCAATTATTCTAATCCTCTAAAACAAATCTCCTTAAAATCATTCTGCCAGCTTGCTAATGTCCTGTTTTAGTCTACTGAACTCTAATGTGTGCTATGCTGGCAGTGCAAGCAACAGATATGCAGGACTCAGAAGTTAGAAGTTTTCAAAATTAGATTAAATGGAAAATAAGAAAACACAGAATTAATTTTAGAAGTGAAAAAAATATACACTGTAAGGATAAACAGAGCTTTACATGGCAGAGGGATTGCTCATATATAATTGAATGATGTAGGATTTTTAATTAAAGTGTGGTGGCACCTTTCATGCCTGAGATGCACAGCACTGTAAACAAACTTTATGCATGTCCAAAAGAACAGATGATGTGAATTGCCTGATTTCACACCCTCAGTCCTTTGTTTATGCCCTGTGCAACACTTAGATTGTACATGCTCTGTGATAGCTTTGTTTGGAGAGCAGTGGAGTGGTCACAAGAAGTGCTATGGGAGGTACAATGTCTGGTCCTGTTCCAGCTCTTTTATTCTTCTGGGTGGTTCTCACACGCTGTAGTATACACTGAGGACTGCTTTTCCTTTTATTGTCAAATTAATGTCTTAGCTTGGGAATTACTACAGTTGCAGCCTAGCATCTCTCAACTCAGCTTTGCTACCCCTAAGGAGAATGAGAGAGCTCTTGAAGAGTGTCTGTGGGCTAGGCAGAAATTTGTGCTTTCTTGGTGATGATCAAGCTGTGTGATAGAGCCTGTGACTGCTCAGGTTACAAACTATAATGAAGGAATGAAAACTGTTCCCGAGCGCAGTCTGCATGCATGGAGAAGTTCTAACCTAAGGAATCACAAACTCTATCACACACCTTCATTATCATCCTCATCAAGGGACAAAGAGATGAAGTAAAATAGAACCAATTAATAAATAGAATCAGTACTCTTGTTCCTCCTGATGTTTTATCTTCATATGGAACAGTAATGCATCTGACTGCTATTTAAAATGCTAGTATGAAAAGCACATCATGCTTCAAGTGACAAAACACTTTGTCCACCAGAAAACCTGATTTGCCAGCAAATGGCAGTGAATGCCCACCTGAGGAAGACATGACATCTATGCTGGAGGAACAAATGTATTTACAACTCTGAACATCACTCTGCAGCTGGGGCTGTGGACTCAGTTTTCTAAGACAAATCTCTAACTCCCTAAGGTGACTTTTTCTGATGGAGATCTGGCATCAGTCTAACTCGTAATTTCAAACTTTCAAAAAAAGAGAAATAAAGCTGTAAAGACCAACTTCAGCTATTGCCAGAAGGCATCCCTCTTAGTCCTTGACTTGTTCAAGTGGCATCATTACACTTGATAGAAAGGCTGGAAGTTCAGCATCTACAAGTACTTGATTCTGGTACAGGACTGTATATTTGCATGTGTGTGTAAACAAGAAAAGGGGGAAAATCAAAGGGTTTTATTTTATATAATAAAAATGTGTAAACAGTACAATAATGCATCAACAATATTTCCTAATGTATGCAAATTTCATAACGTTGATACTTTGCAGTTGAACTAATCTTGCATCCCTTGCCTGATTATGACAACTGCTCTTAACCTATCATACATTACTGATTTTTCAGATAAGCATTAAGGGATTAATAAGATTCATAATTGTATCTTATTAATTATAACCCCACTTTAATGTGAAGTGTGTATCTAAATCAAATAAGGTCCTTTGATAGTTCATATCTCACCAGATATGAATTTATCTGATATAATGTTGCTCGTCTCTCGACAGAGCTGTCAGGGAATAACTTTAGAGGATTAGACCTGTGCTTAGTGCTGTGCACTGAGGGGTAGATACCACTGGATTCAAGGAGAACAAACGTGGAATACGTGACCCGCTCCTGCGTATGCCGGGGCTTGGAGTTGCAGCTCGAGCAGCATCAGCAGCATGGA